GTAATTTTTTTGCTAATTAATTTGTAATTGGGTTTTTAATCTGCAGTCATTTTGAGGCTTCTGAGATGGGTGTTGTTGCTGAGAATGGATGCAAGTGTGGAGACAACTGCACCTGCAACCCCTGCAAGTGTGGAAAGTGAAAGAAAAACGACAGCTTTTGAAGCAGAGGATGATGGACTTCTAATATTGTAGCAAGTAATCTATGCGTGTGTGGTTTTTATGATCCAAACTACCAAGTTTGTGTGTTTTAGGAACCGAGTTAGGAACTGAGTTTTAGAATAAAGTGGTCATGGCCCGTCTCTTTGCAGGTCCTTCTAGGCTAGTATCTGATAAGGGTGAACCCAGGCATGCCTGCTTGTGTCTGTTTTCATTGTACAAAATTAGTATATTTATGTATGTGGACTTGTGAGGTGTTTGTTCACTTGGTGGATCATATTTTATGTAATTGTGAGAGGAAAGAGAGAGAGTTTTTGATGTTATGAATGAAAACTAGCTCCTTTCTTTTACTTTAATTTGTGGGATTAATTATGGTTTTGGTGATAATGGTGACATCTTTGTGCATTATTTAAGGATTTGCAAAAGCCAACACGGTAGGTGAACAAGATATTATACTTATCTGGAAGAGATTCAATGTACATGCGCCAACAAGACCTTAAACTTATCTAGAAGAAATTTCAATTAAGTTTTAAGTATGTCATTAGTCAAACAAATTATTTAAGGATTTGTAACCCAATAGTGGAGGACCATTTACTTTTTCTCGAGACATGCAAATCTAAAGAATTCTTTAGAAAATCTAAAAATAAATAAAGGGCATTTTTGTCCATTTTAACTGCTTTTAAAAATATTTCCCTTTTCTTTGGCCTTTTTCAAAATGCCCCTAGCTGGAGCGGATGTGTTCAATGTTAGAATATCGCTTGTATATAAAAAGTAAAAATAAAAGATTGCAAGGCTGAAATTAATCTGTCTACACAAATCCAACAGAGAGGGTCTCTTTAAGTCTTACAAGGACACATGTAATTCACATCAGTATGGAATCTGATGAGCTAATTGTACAGACTCTGCTTCATAATGCTTACTACTTGACCTGTGAAATCTCTAAGCAACTGGGAGTTGCGTTTGTTTGCTTATCAAATACTCCTACCGCAGCTTTATTAAACAGGTTAACAATCTGTTAAACAAAATTTAGAAGTAGATTAGCATCTAATACATCATTTAATGGAAAAAGTTTTGACTCGAATGTAAAACTATCTTTTAGGTTCACCTGCTTAGATGAGAGGCCTATTTTCTCCAAATCGCTCAGCTGAAACATGACATATTCAACTTCAGAATTACTCTGTTAAATGTAATTCAAAGTTCATTTCACTGAGTTTTGCTTACCGATTTTAAAGGGCTCGTTTCTCTGAGCTCAACTATGTATTCAGCCATTTTGACACCTATTCCCTGAATGATACACAAAAGAGAGAGAATTTCAGAAGGCAGCAAATTAATTTTAAGAACACAAATATGTGCTGTTTGTTTGACATGAACCTTCAACTCCAGCAGCTCCTCCCTGCAATTAACAAAAAAACAGTTAAATTTCATTTGTATAATTGAGTGTTAAAAAAAATGAAAGAAATGAAAATGAGGATATTTTGAAAAGACAATGAACCGTTACCTGTTGGCTGTATTCAAGAAATCAATATACTCTTTAAGCAGGACGTTCTGTGAAATACGAAACAGAGAGATGAGGATCACATATTCAACAGCTTAAACTTATGGAGTTAAAAAGTAACAATTGTACCTTTAAGTTTGACCCACAAGCAGTGAATTTATGAAGTGGGGTGCGTGTTTTTTGACTTCTATTGTTCCTCACCGGAGGAGGAGTTTCTGGAGTCTCTGGCTCAAAGAGGAGGGTGCAATCTCCATTTGTGAACAAGGGTTCATTGAGGGGCTTTTGCTTTATATTGGTGTTGAGAGGAGAGAGAGCTTTTCTTAAGGAACTTCGTAGTGTGCTTTTCCTCTCACTGACAGGTGATGAGTCGAAATTGTTGGCAGAGCTTTCCTCCTGGTTTGACGCCTCACCTATGCAGATATCAATATAGAAGCTATTAATATTTCAAATAACTAAACATGCAAATAAGACAACCATTCAATTTGTTCAGGGTGTTTGAAGCAGCATAGCAAGTGAACAATTCAAGCATAGCTGAAAAATACCAGGTAAACTTGTATTTGATTCCAATACAGATTCACCAGCTCCAGCATTGCCCTCTTCTTTATCACCAGCTAATTGCAGACTCTGAAAAGCAATTCAGATTCATAAATACACAATGACATATAATATGAAGCGCAAGATAACTAACTTGGAATGCATTTAGTAGCGTTTCATTCCCCATGTGGAGCTACTAAACTAGAACTTTTTTCTAAAAGTTGTTAGCCAATTATAATTCCCAATAATGTGAAAACCACAGTTACACAATACATGATAGAATGAGAATGTTAATCAATGGGAGTTTCCTTATTAAATAGTAATTACCTCCAAATTAGAATCAACGGTGCTTTCATTATAGAAAATGTTCCTGAAAGGCACAGTGATTGTCCTGGAAAAAATGTTAACCAATCAGGCAAGGGTGAGTAGTAAATAGCATAAGGATGTTCCATTCAACTAGTTACTTGTACCTTTCTTTGGCATTACAGGCGCTTCTGTTAGTCATAACCTTGGCTTTCACAGAGCTGAGGTTGATGGTGGGTTTCTTGACATTGGCAAAAGAACTTGGAGTTTTCCCCAACAAGGGAGAATTGAATGCTTGAATTCTTTGTGCACTCTTTGTCTTTCCTCTTGATTCAAGCCAAGCACGAAGTTTGGCTTCCATGTCAACTTTAATCTTTGGAGTCTCTTGCTTCTTGGCTGAACGAACAAAATTGGTGATGTGGCGTGACCGAGCTGCCAAGCTGACAGTGTGAACAGACTCCGGGTACTCTCCTGGATTCTATTATCAAAGAAAAATGGATTACAAATAAATCACCGAAAAAAAAAAACAAGTGACTGGCCAGACCAAAGCATTGCTAACTCAAACTCCTTACCAAGCAAGCAACCATCAAAGCCTGACTCATCCCACCTAGTGAGTCTTGCAATATACGAGTCAATTTACTCTCCCTATAGGGAACTCGGGATAAGTTGTTGTTCAATGCATAAATGACATTAGACAAGGCAAACAAGGACTGGTTGATCTTTGCACTTTCTTGTAGACGAATCCCTTCGTTGCAAGTTCTTCTATTATCTTCATTGCCTGTTTGAAGTAAACATGTAGATTAAATATGAGAAGACAAAAACCACAAACAAACTCAATTCCCTAGTGAATTTCACCTTACTTAAGCTACTGGAAAAGGGTTCGGAATACGAAAAAGACCTGCTAAGTCTATGAGATTCAACTTTCCAGTAACAGCCGCAGAACCATCATCACAAGGAGTGGAAACGGCAATCACAAGGACCCCATGGCTCCTACTAGAAACATCATTCAGACCTGTATGTGCCACTTTCCGCCTCTGAATCCCACAAGAAAAAGCCTCATAAAACTCAGGCATGGACTTTACAGGGACCCGAGAGAGTCCCCTAAGATGAATCTGCCCATCTTTGTCATCCAAAACCGCAATTTCCTTGGCTTTGATCTCTAACAGGTCATAACACCTGTCCATATAGACCTCGTAGTATGAAATTTCAACTGTGCTTCCTGTGCACTGGCACATAGACATGATTGTGGACATGGCCAGCGGCATTAGACCCGGCATCTCATCTGTGCCCTGGCACATCAATCACATGCTGAATTAAATACTGCAGAAGAAAATTCTTCAAAACAAAGACTTGAAGCTGCATTTAGTTACTTGGGCAACACAAAAAACTTTATAGACAACTCTACCATATAATTCAGAATTTTCATTTTCTTAAGGGATAAGTAGAAATGAAGTTCAGTACTTCATTGATCCTAATACAAAGATTTGAAATTTTTTTGGGGCCAACCAATGCATTGAACTTTCCACATTCATAGAAATGCCCATGATTAACCAAATTAATGCCCTCATCAAACTTAAATGCCTTACTAATGAGGGAAAAAACACTGAACCCAACAAAACTTTCATCTTTTTGGATAAATCAAATTCAAACCTGCATAGTGTAAGTCTTTCCACTGCCGGTAGCTCCATAGGCAAACACCGTAGCATTGCAGCCATGAAAGAGTCCTGAAATCAAGGGGCTCACTTCTCTGTAGAAGATCCGAGCAACATTGTTGTCCTCTTGGGCAAAGAAAGAGTCTAACCGGTAACACTCGTTTCGGCTACACCCAGAAAACCAAAAATAATCCATAATTCAAAACCCAGCTTTCAAAAAAAGATAAAAACCCAATAAATTTCTTCGAATTATCTGACTGAAATCTAAGAAAATCCCTCACCTTGATTCTTTATCTTTGAGATAAACAACCACTTCCTCAGTAGAAGACTCACATTCTTGTTCAATTACTGAAACACACGGCGTCTGATCTCCGTTATTGGCAGCGATCTCGTGGGGAAGAAAAGGACGAACCCTCACAATGACCCTGACCTTAGAACTTGAATTGGGATTCATGACTTTTGCTGGAGTTGCAGAACTGTCTAGAACTAGACCACCCTCCATTAGAGAAGAAAAATCTAGCTTGAGCTTGAAGATAAAGAGAGAGATTGGGGAGTTGAATTTGCAGAGAGAGAGAGAGAGAGAGGAGGGAATTGTAACTGAAAGCAGTAGATTAGAGGGAAGAAGAAGGTGGTTTTGAAACTAATTGACAATACCGTTGGTAGAGACAGAACAAAAAAGTTTGGGCCTCGCTTTTCTAGTTTGAATTTGGATTTGGGGAGCAAACTTGCCGTTGGGCCTGTGGGCCCCACTATTTTCTATATTATTAAGTGCGCCCTTATGGTCAAAATTTGAATTACTAAAAACTTGGAGGATCTGCCAGCAGGCGGCCTAAATGCGTTAAAGGGTTTAAGACGGAGGCTCTAAACCCTAAAACCCCAAAACTGTTGGAATCAAAGACGAAGATGGACAAGGGCATGCTGGCAGCGGACTTGGAGGGTCTTCCTGAAGAAGATAAGCATAGAATGGCCACCTTGATCGACCAGCTTCAGATTCGTGACAGGTTTGTGTGTCTTTTTATGTATAAAATATTTGTAAATATATGTTTGTGCTTTGTGAAAATGGAGTGTCTTTGTCTATTTCTTGTTCTTGAAATAGTGAATTTATTAATTTATATATAGTGAGACATTTTCTGATATGGTGCATGGTAGATTGAAATCTTAGAGAAATACCAATCATGAAGAACCCACAAGATGAATTTATTTATTTTGCATAATTGTGTATTGAAAATATGGAATTAGGAGGTAATTTCAGTGTAAAAAAGTACAGATTTGTATACGCAGATGATGATTATCATGAGTTATAATTATGAAGTCTCTGGTTTCTGTTATGTTTGTCCAAAATTGCAGCCTGAGGATGTACAATTCATTGGTGGAGAGATGCTTTACAGACTGTGTAGACACCTTTCAGCGCAAAGCCCTGACCAAGCAAGAGGATTCTTGTGTTCGTAGGTGCGCCGAAAAGTTCCTTAAGCATTCGATGCGCGTTGGCATGAGATTTGCAGAGCTTAACCAAGGAGCAGCAACTCAAGATTAAGCTAAGCTCCATATGAATCATCTTTGGCATGGAAATCTTATAAACCTTTTGAATTGGTTTATGACAGGTGCAATTGGTTTACCCTTGGTTTTAGAATTATGCTTCTTACATTGATTGGATTTGTACCCTTATAAAGAAGAAACTTCTTGTCAGGTTTTACAGTTTAGCTGGATATGAATCAGTTGCTAACTTATTACATATAAATTTTGTTCCATTTCCATATGTTCTTGGAAAGGCATGAACAAAAACTTTTGCCCATTTTCCATATCAGATTGTGTGACTTTACAATAAGAGAAGCTGTGTAACTAGGTCTGTGTTATTAGCTTGATTAGCTTTCTCTTTTGTTTCCCTTAAATTATACTTTATTTGGGACAGTGATCTTGACAGTGAACCAACCAAGTGCTGCTTATTGTTCACATTAGTTCAGAGTACAATTTGGTTGGTAAAAAGATTTGACTTCTGAGCTTTGGCCCTTCGTGCCAAAGATGACAAAGGCCAACATATGATTGAGAATTGTCTTGAGGTGCAGAGCTTGAATTGAATATGCTGTGATATATGCTCAATTCTGTGCTTGCATACTTTTACTTAGTTTTTCAACCATGTAAGATTGTTCCAAGTCAGATTTTTCATCCATTTTTATTAATGGAACAAGTTACATAAGGCATCAAGTTCATTTCATTCAATGTGGTTCGTGGGATTTAAACTTATGATATTTTTGCAACAAAATGAAAATGAGTATCTCAAATGATGGTTGGCAATCTTGCCGTCAGTTAGTCCCTATTATTTGATTATATTCTCTTTTTTCAAGTATTATTTGATTGTATTCGCCAAACTCAAAAGTGCAGCAAAACTAACGAGCCCAAGAAAACAAAACTAAAACGAACAAAAGTCGCTCAACTAATTTACAATCAAACCCCTAAAACAATTCATAAGCTTAAGTGAGCACTACTACCATCACTTGAAGCAACACTACCATCAAAGATGGTCTCAAGCAGGTTGCAGCAAACTCCGTCAAATGTAGTTAGAACTAGACTAAATGTTCGAATTGGAGCATTTTGATACGGTTAGGAAATTAAAATGTAGGTCTGGTAGTATTATATTATGGGAATCAAACTACAATTTAGACAAAAAATACTATACAATTCGGATTTGATTGTCGATGAAGTACGAAAAAGAAAAAGAAAACGGTCAAGTTGAGGGTTTTCCCGCCAACCAACGGTCCAGATCAATGAGAATAGAAACAATCACAGCACAGAAAGACAAAGACCATCAGGCACCGTACACTCAGCCATGATCTGACGTTCCAGCGAACATTAATACCCTAAACCGCAATTCATTATAGTTAAACGTTTCTTTCCAAACAAAACCCACTTAAACCACGAGCTATTTATGTCCAATCCAACGGTCCGAAAATGCCCGCGAAGCAAGCCGCCCATCCAACGGCTCCAAACACGTTCGATATTTAACAAAGAGCCTAGAGTGCCGTTTGAGGTTCAAACTTTTGGTTTCGGTCCCCTAACGTTCTGGATGAACCGTCAAACGCCGTTAGATGATAGGGTTTTCTAAAGCTCACAAAAACTCAAAGCCCTTTCGATAACGGTAATTAACGGAGACGTCGGTGCATATATATTCGTTATAAATTTATAATAGTTTTTATTATTATTTCCTTTTAACCTCTGTTTCTTTCTTTCTCTCTCTTCGTTTCAACGGGCGAGGATTTTTCGAAACCAAAAAGCTCCCTTTCATGTTTCAGAGAAGAGGCTTCTGAAATCTGTTCGCCTAATCGATGAGCTCGAATTCGATTCCCGCCACTTCTTCACAAGCATGGGTACTCTTACTTTCAGAAAATGGTTTTTGTTTCTTGAAAGAAAAAACTTTTCTTCTTCCTATTTTGTTGATTTGCTTTCATGTTTTTTCACTGGTCTCAATCAAGTTTCCACGTTTTCTTGGACTTCAAGTTGCTCCGATTTGTGCTGGATTTATTTGGGCTTTGGATTTAAGTCTTGTAATTCTCTTTAATTTGCGTTTTGGTAACAGTTTTTTGATCTGGAAACTCTTTTTAAGATCTGGGTCTTGCTTGTCTGGGTTATGGCGGTGGGGTTTTTAAGATTTTGGAGTAAATTTAGGGTCTGTTTTAGAGTTTTTAGTGTTTATGATTCGTTTGAGGGGTTATTTTTGAAGGGTTTTGTTTTATATTTGTGTGTTATGTATGTAATTATTGATTAGGATTTTGAATTTTGGAGATTATTTATAGGAAGAGATGGAGGAGGTAAAATTAGAAGAGTGTTGCCTTGAGAATAAGCAATCAACGGCTGCTTCCAGCTCGTCTGTGTCCGAAGGCAGTGGCAGTGCTATTCTCAAGTCCCCAGGGGTTTGCAGCCCAGCATCAACTTCTCCGACTCACCGGTACTCTCCCTTAATTCCTAACAGCTGTAAATTAGTTACAACTATAGTGATGTTCTCTGTTTAAAAATCATTCTCTTCATAACCGGGATTAAATTACGAATGTGATGTTTATTTTAGGTTTCACGCATTTGCTTTTAGAGCTTTTATGATTCTCAATGAGTGTTTGGATCCTTACCTACTGGAAAATGGATATGCTGATCGATTTTTGTTGTGATCATTTTCCATTGTTTTTAATTATCATCAACAGTGTTGGGGTTAGTGAACTGAAATATGTAAATTTGATCTTTCAGGAGGACTAGTGGTCCTATTAGGCGAGCCAAAGGCGGTTGGACTCCACAGGAGGTCAGCATTTCATTCTGTACTTGTGTTCACTTCCTTGTAATATCAGCTAGAAGCATGAACATTTTTGTGTTTGTTACTAGCATATTGAAGGGAGAGGTTCATCATTGTCAATCATCAAATCATCTAATTTGGAAAGGCTTGAAACTGTCATTTCTTTTAGACTTTCTGGTTTTATTACTTCTGTTTTCAATAATGTACACCGTCTCTATCTCACCCATTTTCACATGATGTTGCTCAGATACATGCTCTTATGTTTTCTTAGCCATAACTCTTTTTGGTGCGTGATTTTAATTTGCAATAACATGTTGATTGGTCACAGGATGAGACATTAAGGAATGCGGTTGCAGCTTTTAAGGGGAAGAGTTGGAAGAAAATAGGTTTGTCTCTGTCCTGATTTATGTTGTGTAGTTGCAAAATTTCAGTTGTTATGGTGCTTTTAGGTAGCAGTGAGTCTGCTCAGGCAATGTGCTCCCATAACTTAATGAGGTCTTTTAAATGGTAGAGATTTTGATAAACTACAAGAAATCTTATTTTGGCTGAACAATAAGAATATATTCAGAGCTCTAAAAATTCAAAGCAAACCAATCACATGACATAGATGTCCCAGTAGACTGGGCGTGTAACTGTTCGTTCAATCCACTAATTTCTGTTCTACCTATGTTGTAAATTACCAAAAGGGGGTAGAACAATATATAAATTACATACACGACTAGAAACCTAGTCTTGGCTGTATTACCGAGTATTTTATTTGTTGTCATATTATGCTTAAATTCAGGCAACTAATCTAATATTTGGAACAATGTGTATGCAGCTGAATTTTTTCCTGATAGATCGGAAGTGCAATGTCTGCATCGGTGGCAGAAGGTTCTTAATCCAGATCTTGTTAAAGGGCCGTGGACTCAAGAGGTTGGAACCTGATACCATCCTTACTTTTTGTGATCCTTTCTTGTAGCTTTACATTGAACTTTCTTTAACTTGTTTGTTTTGTAGGAGGATGATAAAATCATTGAACTGGTAGCCAAGTATGGACCTACAAAATGGTCGTTAATAGCGAAGTCTTTGCCTGGCCGTATAGGGAAACAATGCCGGGAGAGGTAACCTTCATAAGTTTAAGTCCTTATGTTGTTGTCATGTGCGACCCTGGAACTCTTGAGCACTATAATGCTGACCTGATCTGTTTCATGTTCCTCTTAAAATGATCTTTTTCTTTCTTTCTGGAATTAAGATTTATTCTTTTTATTACCTTTAGTTTTGTATGACTGATGCTTTATGCATCAATGTTATTCCTTCCATTGGCTTGGATCTTCCAATTGATTTCTTCATGAAAAGCAAATAAACGGTTTGGGCAGTGTATACACTTATAAAAACAATGGAACAATTTTTTTTTTTTTTAAATACAGGTGGCACAATCATTTGAATCCAGACATAAAGAAGGATGCTTGGACGTTGGAGGAGGAATTAGCACTTATGAATGCCCATCGGATACATGGGAACAAATGGGCTGAAATAGCTAAGGTTTTACCTGGAAGGTATCTTTCTTGATTGATTTTTTATTTATGAATGGCGTTGAGGTGCTAAATTAGGGCAACATTGGGGTACATGTATTTTGAAAATCAAGTTCTTTGGTATTATTGTGCGTATGTACTGTTTACCAAGTCAAATTTTGCATAACTTTGTGTTTGTAGGACTGATAATGCAATAAAGAATCATTGGAATAGTTCCTTGAAGAAAAAATTAGATTTCTATTTGGCTACTGGGAAACTTCCACCAGCTGCAAAGAATGGTTCCCAAAATGGTGCCAAAGAGACAAGTAAATCCACTGCAACTAAAAGATTACTTGTTTGTTCAACTAAAGGATCAGATTCAACTGCTCAGACATCATCTGGAAATGCAGACGTATGTAAGCTAGATGAAGATGGCAAGGATCAGTTCGAGTCCTCTGCCCCACATCAGGATTTGGGTGCTTCATCAAGTGTTCTTCCAAATGATCCTGCTGATTCTGAAGGTGTAGAATGTCAGCTGAGATCATCCTTTAGAGATCTTAGTTGCTGCAACTCAGAGTCAGGGTCAAAGTTTGAGAATTTTGCAGTAAACAGCAAGCCCCAGATTGAGAGTATCATTAACAGCCAGGCAGAGTCTGAGAATTGTGGATTTAACAACCTAATAGATGAAGACAGAGTTAAGAGAACACCTGTACCAGTTGAAACTCCAGGCTACAGCTCTTTGTACTATGAACCACCGTTAGAAAGTTGTGGTCCATTTGATTCAGGTTTTTCCAGCATGCGTTGCTTTCAACATGATTACGCTTCTAGTCCAAATGTATCACCTATAAGTTTCTACACTCCGCCTTGTGTGAAGGGCAGTGGTTTATGCAATCGAAGTCCTGAATCAATTTTGAAAATGGCTGCCAAGACCTTCCCCAATACTCCTTCCATCTTGCGAAAGAGAAAGAATACTTCCCAAGGACATTTGCCTCCTAATAAAATTGGGTTGGTGGATTGTGAATCAGTCAGGGAAGTGCTTAATGTTTCTGATGAACAGGAAAGACACAAAAACAGTGCGGAAATGTCTGGGTCTCAAGAAGAAAGTTTGTGTGAGAGTCCAACCAGTCAAGGTATCAGCACCATTGGGCCTAATGGTAAGGCTTTTAATGCATCTCCTCCATACCGGTTAAGAGCCAGGAGGACTGCTGTTTTCAAGTCTGTGGAGAAACAACTTGAGTTTACATGTGACAAAGAGTATGATGGTAATTCTAAATCTGTGGAGTTGTCTGCAAATGGAGGCTCTGGTGTAATCAAAGATTGTTCTCATGCAACAAAGATGGAAGTGACCTAGGGCATGCACTGTAAGTTACAGTTTTGCTTATCATTTTTCTTGAAATCTTTTTTTAGAACTGATATAGTTCATGCTTGGTAAAGCTGTCTTTTATATTTTACTTGAGGATGGAAACTGGATCTGATTGTGTCTCTGCATGGAGGATCTATGTATGACATATAATTGCTTGGTCACGTGGTGAATTATTTATGATTATAGCTTATCCTGTTGCTGAATTTTGTCCTACCATTAGATTGTTAATAACACACCTGACGTGTGCAGATGACAAGCTTGCTGAGGATAGTGCATAGATGTTTTAGTTTTCTGATAAAGGAATCAAAGTTGTCATTCTTTGCATTATGGATATTAAGAGTTGGATCTATTATTTCCTTCCTCATTCTTTTCATTTTGTAGCCTTTGTTGCCAAAGTTAGAAAAGAGCCAAACAATCTTGCCGCCTTTGTTAGAGTAGAGTTACCATTAGAAAAGATTTGTGAAGATCCTAAGTCTCTTCAATATTGGTGGTACAGAATCCAAAGTGATAGAGAAGTCAATTACAACTGCCTTTTAGGAAAGATAAGTGGAAATGTGAAAATTTCTTTTGTTTATATGAACTGATGAAGTAAACTATCTCCTAGAGTCCTAGTGGTGAAGGAATTTGTGTACTTGAAGCCGTTTTTATTTTCCTGGTTAGTGATGAAAGAAATAGTGTTTGCATATTTTCTCACTGTATCTGCTCTAAATATTCACTTTCTTTAAGCCCTTTTCTTTCGGCCTGCTATTGGGTTCATCATTGAAATAGCGATGGAATGAAGCAAGAGGCAATTTTAAATAAGTTTCTGATTTGGTTTCCTCTGTTTTTATTCAGGTACAAAGGAGGGTGATTCTATTGAAGTTGGCTGACACTTTTGAATTGGTGATATTTCCAAGTCTACAGAGCTCTTTTGAAAAGCGATTTATCGATTTATCAGACCACTCTCTGGTCTTGCATCTTGGATGCCTTACAATTCATTAACTTGCAAATACACCACCTGATCGTTACATTGGAGGGGTTTTTAGCACAGCAACTTGACAAAATACAGTGGCAGTGGGCTTCTGTTTTGTGTAGAATAAAAATGATAGGCCCCAATACTTGTGAAAATATATTGATTGTACAGAAAACCCATCAGCAAAGGAGCGATGATGCTTTATGCTTGAAAATTCCCTTAATGAAAGCGTAGCTCCAGTCATCTGTTTGGTTCTTTACCAATTTTAACTCTACTACCTTCACACACACGTACTCTTTAGAAATCTTAGTATTGTCTCCCATTTTCCTCGGGCAGTGGATGTGAGAATTTTCATTATCTTGATAAGTTTGTTTTGTACATAGAAGGAAAGCCAAATTGTTAATGACCAATTTTTTATTTTTATTTTTATACAAGCAATATTCTACTTCAATATAATCTAAATTATGGAGAGGGAGATTCAAACTCGGTTGCATAGTGGGAAGCACATTCGTTCTAACCAACTTGACTAAGCTCATGTCTGTTGCCAATGAACATTTAATCCAGTGGCACTGAGTCTCTCCTCTATTGAAGGATCTCTCATGCACGATTATGTTAGATTAAAAAAATTAGCTTAATAGGATGTACAAAAAAAATTCAAAGGCTTATTCATAGATATGCCCCCTTGTGCTTTCAAAATAGTCTCAGATTACCATATGTTTTTTGAAATGTCTCAATATACCACCTATACTTTCAATAAGTGTCACGTTAGCTATTCCGTCAAATTTGAGAGAAGTTCTGTTAGTTGATGTGGCCCCCACTTCTTTTCAATCTCTTGACAAGGGAGAGGAAGGGTTGGTCAGGTTGAGAAAATGAGGGATTTGGGAGAAAAGGGGGAATTTGATTTGGGGATTTCAAATTTGGGAAATGAAGGATGGTTTGATTTGGGGATCTCCCAAATCTAAAATCGCCAAATCACATTCCTCATTTTCTCCCAAATCTGAAATTCCCTCAATCTAACATTCTTCTCTCAAATTCCCTTTTTTTTCAACCTGACTAACCCTTCCTCTCCCTTGTTAAGAGATTGAAAAAAAGTTGGGGCCACATCAGCTAATGGAATTTCTTTCAAATTTGATGAAATAGCTAACGTGAGACACTTATTGACAGTATAGGTGGTACATTGAGACATTTCAAAGAACATGTAATAATATAATACTATTTTGAAAGCAAGGGAGCATATCCATAAATAAGCCAATTTCAAAAGAAGCAACTTTCAGAAAACTGCGTCTCATGAAAACCCCAAAATCGAAGCTGAATCGGGCAACAGTTCTCAGGCTAGGAGAGGCACAGTATATGATTGTGCCAAAGAAAGTATGCAATGAAAGGTGCAAAGTTTTCTTTATTTTTCTTTATTTTTTATGCTACTTATATTACCAGATAGGTGTCAGATGCTTATATTGGTAGACTGAATTTGTCCGTCATCAGAACGACAATATTTGTCCATCAGACTGAAAAGTCACTACTTACTGATTCTGTTGTATAAGCACTGAGAAAAAAAATAAAATAAAATGAAAATGAACTTTGAACGTCAACATCGGAGAAAAGTTGACCACCAGTTTTAGGCCTTTTATGGGACATTTGCAATGCAATTACTAGCCTAAACTTGAAGGCAATTCTTTTTATTTTCAAACTATTAGCTTTGGCAACTATATCAAAGGATTTATCACCAAGCCCAACCGAAACAGTTTGAAATCTCTTGTAACAGCTCCGGAAGTCACTCCCCCTCCTTCCCCTCCCTTCCTCAGCTCTCTGATAATTAAAAAGAATGTAATAACAAAACAATAAATAACGCCACAAAGTGAAGGAGAGAGAGAGCAAGAGGGATGGACTGAGTTCCTCTCCATGCAAATGCCACTCTACCCTTCACCAGTGGCTCGTGACCGATGTTATAAAATATCTATGTACAACCGTTTCGCAATGACTCCACAACCCTGTATGTTGCCAGGCTTCAGCCTTGAGCATCATATTGAACTGTACAACCATTATAAAAAAAAAACAAACGGAACAACCTGCCGACAGACGGTCTTCCCTTGGAACCAAATTTTCAACATGCGGAGAGGAAAATCCAAGCATCTGCCAATGTAGGTGACAAGATATTTAGTAACAGTAGGAAAATAATCTTTAACAAGCAAACTATAAAAGTAAGGCCACAGGCAAAGAGTAAAAAATAGTCGGGAATTTTATAGCGTTCCATATTGTTCAGAACTACGTTAGTTTAAAACACAGCCACTAACCTCAATGTGCGGTAAACTGAACCATTAATGTAAGGTGCAGATTTATTGTCAGAACTGGATATTCTCTGTTACTATCAAGAATCCTTTGTCATCCCCTGACATAAATCCGTGTCACAATATATACCGCCTGAGATGCCAAACTAGAATATTCAGCAACTTGAATAAAATGAACTAACACCCATGACTTTCATTATATTGCCTTTACCTTCAAATCCAAACTAAACCATGAAGAAAGAACCAATAGTAGTTTGCCCAAGAACCTTGGAACTTCGATCAAGACCATGAGAAGCAACCTGCCACGCAAAACAACATAAACTATTTACCATAAAACTAAACACTACCAAGAATATTTTTCAATTGGAACGTATAAATTAAGTATGCTTCTTTATGAAAACACAGAACAGAACTGCTCAGTTTCAACATAACACTGTTGTCAGGTTTGGCCACGACAATGTCATTGATAGTGGGGGTGGGGCAAAGGGCTGCAGGTGGAAGGGGGGGGCGTGAGAGGGAGGGCCAAAGTTTTTATTCAACTTTTAAATGAGTGATAAGTAAGTTGTTTGGAAAAAGAATTTACCTATAAATTACCATAAGCAACTGTTAAGTGGCAACGAATTTCAACATTTACTGCATTAGGTAAAATATGATGCAAACTTAAAATGTAGCAAAAGATTCTCACCAAATAAGTTAAAGCTGCATAGCGTTCGTCATTCAAGTACAGCGGCTTTCCTCTTTGCATTTCAACATCCTGCAATTTTTTTTTACAATAATACAGAAACATATAGACCCCTATAAATCAATGAATGCAAATAGGAACAAAAACAAGAACAGAAGCATCCACAGTTACTTCTTCCAACTTCTTCATTTTTTTCATAGGCATTTTTGCATTTTATTCAGAGAAAGAAAAACATAATAACCGTATGCAATAAAGAAAGGAGCTCAATTAACAAAGGAATTATGTCCTCTTAAATGCGTAATCAATTTAGCCTTCTTTTGCTTCATTCTATCCATGTGAAACTCTAAAGTTCTGGCCATAAATTACACCATCCATATTATTTTGTCATTGCAAATTGTTTACAAGTGGAAGATGATAAAAGAAACAGAAGAGCAGAATTTCTGTGTGATTTGCTATAGCATAAACTAGTTACCTCTTCCCCAAAAGCATCCAAGTACGGCGATGGCCAGGGAGCTTGCCGCGCACATCTTTGTAGCAGAATTGTTGTCCTCTAATAGCAAAGAAAATTAACCATCTCCATAAACAAGAAAAGAGGTAAAAATATAACTTACAAGATTTAAGAGACAGCTGCGAAACATAACTTAAAAAAATAAAAATAAAAAACGAACTGCAATGCATACCCTGATCAACAGAAATACCCCAGTACCAGAACCACAGGCCAATGCATGAGTTTGGCATCCACTTTCCCTAAAGATGCAATGTCAAAATTAGCAATAATGGGCACAGCAATGGCCCAACGGGGCATAAACATGTATGCACCTAGAGGGACACTTTTCTTAAAAATAATGACAAATATTGGTGAAAATATATATACCGGCAGCATGTCTTCCAGCTTGGAGAGCATAATCTCCCACAAAGCAGGCACAATGCGGGGTCCTCAAGGATGGATTTGCAATCAGGACAACGCTGTTTAATATACCTGAAAAAACACAATCTTTCTGAATGAGTTTAAATTCTCGAGAGATTTGAATTTTTTTTTTTTTTAAAGAACAAGTACTCCAGCAACAAAACGAGAAGCAATTTAACCAACCTCTGCAAAAGGTCCTGGTAAACTCGGGGCAGACGCATCAACTGGAAGGGAACTGCAGGATTACAGTGTATGTTTCCTCTAAATCTTTGGACTTCAAACCCCTTGCAAAAATGACAGAACCATTTCTGAACCATTGAACGCACCACTTTATCCTTAAGAATAACATCAAGTGTAGGAATCTTGAACATTCTTTCTATCTCCTGAACTTCATTGAGCTCTACCAGCGCCACATCAGTGGTATCCACCATGTCACCAATGGCATGAGATCTATCCAACACATTATACCTTTCGAAGAATGGCGCTTGGGCATTATAGTTTAGTAAATTCAACAGCAATGCACACCTCCGCAAATAAGGGAAACTCAAGCTACGAACTATGTTCTTAATATTACTGTTACAAGAAGAGCCAACATAGTTTGAAACAAAATATTGCTGCGGGCATCCAGATTCTCCCATGAGTTTAGAGACATCGGTAATCAGACAATCATCAACACCTAATTTACTCATATCGCATTGATTTTTCCCAAGATATGCAATTATACCCTGCATTCGCCATATTGGATTGGCCACTAAATGATTATAATGGAACCCAAGCATCAACCAAATAATAAAAAGAGATAATTACAGATAACGTACCTGAACTACAGAGACAACATAGAATAAGTGCACCAGGGATAACAAGGAATCTTCACATGATAAAAACCGATATGGAAGACAAAAAAGAACCCACATCAATGATGAAAAAGGATCACGAGCAAGGACAGGATCAGATGCTCTATTCCAGAACTGAATATCAGGATATGATACTGCCATATCAACATGTTCCAAGATACGCAACATAGCCCCTGTAAAACATAGCATGGATGAGGATTTAATAACTTGTAAGAGTGGAATAAATCAGGAATCAAGATGACTTGTGATATACAAATGCCTGAACTTATATTGTTTTTAGCAAGCATAACACGTAAAATTTTGTACACATGAAACTGTAACAAGTATTAGTCCCTTCAGTAGCTTTGAATATGATCCAAGATATCAATCAGCCGCAACATTATAATAAGAAAGGATGGTGCTACTTATCCCAAATTTTCACAACTTCTTTCCAACCTAGTAGCGTATATACACGGCATCATTGCATTAATAAAACAACAATGCTGTAGAACCCAATGTGAGAATGCCATGTAAGTTGGATAGAAAGAGTTCGGTTCCATAGCATTACCGATCATCTCAAACTATTATGTTTTAAATTCATGTTTCAATAAATAAATAAAAAAGGAAGTAGACGATAACTCATTAAATTTAACTCT